TCAAAAGGATCATGGGAAAGGTAGTTGCCTCTTGCTGAATTCGAGTACAACAACAGTTATCAATCAAGTATCAAAATGGCACCTTATAAAGCTCTTTATGGAAGAAAATGTCGTACACCCCTAAATTGGTTCGAACTTAAAGACAAAGAAATTCTTGGTCTGGAGTTGATCCAGGAAGTGGAAGAAAAGGTTTTCAAAGTAATCTCAAAGCAACAGCTGATAGACAGAAATCATACGCGGATCTAAAGAGAAAAGAGATAGAATATCAAATAGGAGATAAAGTGTTTCTCAAAGTATCTTCTTGGAAGAAGGTTTTGAGATTTGGTCGAAGAGGAAAGTTAAGTCCTCGATTCATTGGACCTTATGAGATCGTAAAGAGAGTTGGACCAGTGGCATATCAATTGGCGTTACCACCTGAAATAGAAAAGATTCATGATGTCTTCCATGTCTCAATGCTTCGGAAGTATCGATCTGATCCCTCCCACATTGTGACTCCAGAAGAGATCAAGATTCAACCGGATTTAACATACGAGGAAGAACTAGTTCAAATTTTAGCTAATGAGATTAAGCAATTAAGGAACAAGACTATTCCATTAGTCAAAGTATTGTGGATAAATCACAAAGTAGAGGAAGCAACATGGGAGCGTGAAGAGGATATGAGAAATCAGTACCCCCATCTTTTCGTGCAATGAAAATTCGAGGATAAATTTTCTTTAGGGGGAGATTTGTAACATCCTCAATACCAGGTTAATGACTAAATTGTAAAAATTCAGAATTTGATGACTAAAACAGAATAATTGAATAGTATTATAATTTGGTATATGGTTAAATTGCAAAGAAGAAAGAATAGAATGATAGAATAGTCTTTTGCAAGGAAAAATAATTAAAGAATGGATTTATATATTAGCTCCACGTGGAAGAGAATAAAGAAAAATAAGGTTCCAGAGTTCTCTTCTTCTCTTCTTTTCTCCTAAACGTGAAGAGGTCAAAACAAAGGTGAGATTTTTCATGAGTTAATTGTTTGCTGAAATTTAAGTTTTGTTTTGATCCTTAGATGTTAATTAAGCTTAAGGAAAGCTTAATTTGCTTTAAAACAACAACATGAATGGTGTAGGAAGAATTAAAGATTAGGAGTTCTTGAATGGAATTTTGAAATATAGTTCATATTGGAAATCAGATGTTGAATTTGACTTGTCATCGACTTAATTAAGACATACGAAGTGTTAAAATTAGATTTAGAACATGTTGGAAATTGAGGAAGATTCTTAAAATCTATGTGGAGGATTGGATTTTTAAGTTTAAGAGGTATTGAATGGGTATTAATTAGTTTAAGTAGGTATATGCAAGTTAAGGATATAAAAAAAGGGAAATATAAAGTGTTGAGAAGATTATGAAGAGATTTTCGTGCTAAAATAACATTTATGGGCTATGTGCATCGATGTACATTCAATGTGTATCGATGCATCAAGGGTAAAAACCCAGAAATTGTTCAATGTGCATCGATGCACATGAAGTGTATCGATGCACTCCTTTAAAATAAAAACATCAAATGTCATCAGTGTATCGATGCACAAGTGGTGCATCGATGCACCCCCTAAAATACAAACATCAAATGGGATTTATGTACCGATACATAGTTAGTGCATCGATGCACCCGTTAAGGGATGCATCGATACATAGTGTAGTGTATCGATGCATACCTTCATTAAAAGATAAAAATAGCTTTCTTTTTAGCCTAAGGAGTGATAGTTTAGAATATATTAATTAGTATACTGATTAGTACCAATGTATTACTATGTAGATATAGAACGTAATATCATTCCGGAACAAACAAAGGAATAGGATCAAGTCAAAACAAGCAAGGCCAAGGTGAGTGCATATCCTAGATGAAATGGAATTAAGATAAGACTTGCGATAAATCTATCTCTTATCATTGAATTTATGATTCTATATTCATGCACATGCATACATATATAAATGTTAACGTTATAGTGCTTCCGTGCATTTTTCATTCATGATTAACATGATATTATATGAATGAATGACATTATCAGAGAATTCTTCCAAGCATGTGAAATAATGAAAATGTTCATATGAAGTGACTTATGTGTTTACATGGACAGTGATGAAAAAGATATGAAATGAGAAATGTATTTATAATGAAGCCCATGTTATTTAATATGAGTGTTGTATGTATAATTGGCATGCCAAGAGTCGAGGGATTGTCAGTGGTCCTTCGGGAAATAGTGGTTCTTCGGAACAATCAGTGGTCCTTCGGGACATAGTGGTCCTTCGGGACAAATATTCAGTGCCCCTTGAGGGAGTTATACGAGCTGTGGTGACAATATAGTGCACAACCTCTATGTACTCACATACCTTTGTTCTCAATAATGTACATGGGCAATCCAAAGATAAATTAAAGTGAAATTAGCATAAAAATGTATGTTTTATATGTGCATGTTATCATCATATATGTTATAGTGTAATAAATATATGCAAGTCGAAATGTCATGATCACTGGTAAGAATGCATGTTCATAAATTCATTGTTATACATGTGTATACATATATTTATGTTATGCCTCACTAAGTCTGTGACTTAGCGTGTAAGTGATTTACACGTAGGTATCAAGAATCGAGAAGAACAGAAATAGGAGTGGCAAGAATAGCAGCACTGCTAGAAGATTAGATCAAAAGTAACTGATAAAGTAGCTATTTTGTTGTGTATAGTGTGTTGGCATGTAAGATAAGTGTTAGTTACAAATGCTCTGATCAGTTTTGTCTTGTTTTGATTAACTTGTGTAAAGTAACAATGTTATTTTAATGAAAGTTTTAAATTTCCTTGATTTTTCGTCAAGAGTCAAAGTTTGAAAAGTCAATGTGACACCTCAGACTCGTATCCGGGTCGGGTACGGGTTGAGGGTATTACAAAAAAACCTAAATTACGAATTAATAATTACTACTAATTTATTAGTTTTCTAATAAACAATAAGAAAAATAGTAAATTATTGGTTAATATTGATTTACTAGATTCTACATATAGTTAAAAAATAAGGTAAAAATTCTGATGAGTTTAACGAGCAACGACTTGAATCGAGCAACAAATTTTTTTAACGAACATGAGTCGAGCAGTATTCAACCCACGATCGACTTGCTCAACAAATTTTACTAAATTGATAGAAAAGATTACAAAGCCTCAATCTTAGCTCAATATTCAATAGGTTTATATTGCTCTTAATAATATGCTAATCTCTAACTAATCAAAACAACCTAACTGATAGTTCAACAATCATTCCCAGGATTTCTCCCTTTGGCCAGAACTCGTATTCGGATCCCATCGACACCACAACAACGTCGCTCGTATTCGTATTTGTAATCGTATTCGTATTGGATCAATCTCTCTCCAAATCGAACTCGATTGTAGAGAAAGAGAAGAAGAAGAATCGCAATAGTAAGGGATTTGACAACGTGATAAGGTTAATATTTCGAGTTAAAAAGTTTGTGAGGAGGGAATATGATGATGAGTTAGCGGCAGCAATGGCGATGACAATGCGAGAAGCTCCGAGGCTAGTTCCGGCAACAAAAGAATCTATCAAAGCTTGTAGAAGGTTATGGCGAAGGTATTGAGTACGTGATTTGCATGGATTCAACAACTCTGTTGCCGATGCATCTTTATTCACTTTCCACAGCCAAGGTATCATTATTTATCTCCTTGTTTACGTCGATGATATCATTGCTACTGGCAACTCCACGTCCGCTACAACTCAGTTCATTCAGCAACTGTCTGCTCGCTTCTCATTAAAGGATCTTGAACCATTACATTACTTCCGCGGTGTTGAAGTTGTTCTTAAGGAAAGTGTAGTTCAACCAAGTTCGCAGACAAAGTGAAGTTGTTCGTTCGGCATACTTCTCTAGGTTGCTCCACTTCTCACTTTTCTTGTCTGATTCCTTATGTTTGATGTAGATTAAAATGGAAATCTAAAGAAACTACGAAGAGCAGATTGACGAGCTAGCTAAAACAAGCTACAGCCAAGTTATGAACAAGAAACACACTCAACGATACCAACGAAAATAGAGAAATCATAACATACTGACACATCATGCTCTACACAGCAGCCAGACACAAACAACCAACTCACAAGTGAAGAGGAAACTAACCACAACACAGAAGGATTCCACCAGCTTGCATATTGAGAGAGTAATCTGCTTCGACACACCAAAAGGAGAAAAAAAACAGCTCTCCTTCAAACTCCAACAGCCCCGGAAACGCGTAAATACCAACACAAACAGCAGCTATCCTCCCCGACAAGAAGGAAACGCATCACCTCAATCAACGACTCACCTTCAGTCTCCAAGACAACGAAGCTAAAGAAGAGAGCACCGCTACCATCAAGCTGTAAACATTGGCGATCTTGACAAACCAACCACTGGTAACCAAGCAGCCAACCTGCAACCCATTACCACCAAGCTTTGAAAGATTTTTGAATTCGACAAAGCATCTAATGACTACCAAGCAGCCAACCTATCAGAGTTTCTATCTACATGGATAATTTTGAGCTTGCTGATCTGTTTTGAGAGAGAGTCAATTTCCAAGCAGATCGGCCGCATACTCCACCGGCGATGGAATCGATTCTCGGTCCAATAATGCACCATTCTCGAATCAAGTTTCGATACTAATTTCTTCTTCACAACCCACCCCGCCTCCACGAACAGCTCCAAAGCAAGTTTTACAGCCAGCAATTTCTTATGATCTAGCACAACCATCTGAGTCGGCATCGAGAATGCAGCTCTGATTGAACCACTACTAGAACTAAGAACTCCGCCACATCCTCCTCAATCATCCTTAACTATACGCTTATCGAGCTAGGATTAAAGCAGTTCGAAGGTGTCTCCCACCACTCCTCCAATTTAATTATTGTTCAAGTTTGGACTAATGTTGGAAACGAAACTGTGTTGGTTCCTTTGCTTAAGAGAAATTAGCTTACCCTATTCTCATATGTAATGGGGTAAGGGGAGGTAGGATAGTAGGTTGATCCCAACTCTAGGTTGAAGGCAGCTTTCCGTGGGAGACCTCCAGGGTAAGAGAAAATACTTAAATTTATTTTAAAAATTTTAATATAACGTCCTTTATAATAATTGACGTATTAATCAAGTATTAGGGTTTATTTTTCGATCAAGCAAATCTCTGTATATAAATACTTGTATTTTCAGAAGACTGGTTTAGTTTTCAATCAAGCAAGCTTAGGGTTTATTTTTTATAATGGCAAGCAGTCAACCTCTGTTTTCAAGTGACGGTAGATTACTCTCTGACTCCAACCAAGGCTCCTTGCAATTCTCAGATCGAATTTCTACTTCATATTCGTACGTTTCTTGAGGATGATAATGGCGGATTCCAAGAGGATCATTCACAGGATTTCCAGGATTTCTCCGTTTGGCCAGAGTTTGTATTCGGATCCCATCGACACCGCAACAACGTTGCCCGTCGTTTACTCGAAGCCGGATGGCTCGAACAACGCGGCCTTGAAACGATATTGGATCACGCTTTCTCCCAATCGAACTTGATTATAGAATATGAGAAGAAGAAGAAGAGTCGATATAGTAAGGGATTCAACAACGTGATAAGGATAATATTTTCAGTTAAAAAGTATTTGAGTCGGGAACACGATGATGAGTTAGCGACAGCAATGGCTATGGAGTTGTCGATGCAAGAAGCTCCGAGGTTCGTTCCGGCGACGGAAGAATCGATCAAAGCTTTGAAGAAGGTGAAGTTTGTTGAAGGTTATGGCGAGGGTATCGAGTGCATGATTTGCATGGAGAAATTAGTGCAGTCCAAAACGGAGGTTGTAACTTGTATGCCGTGTTCTCATCTCTTCCATGGAGATTGTATCCACAAGTGGCTGAGTACCGGTCATCACTGTCCATTGTGCCGCTTCTCGATGCCGACTGATGACGGAAAACATTAGGATAATTTAATAAGATTTATTTTATGATGTTTACGATAAACTTTGAGATTAATCTATTATGAAAGCATTTATGAACGGATCCCATGATCATGGTCTTTTGTCGAACCAGGTCGACAAGGAAGATGATAACGAAGCTGAACATTATGTGAGAAATCCACGACTGCATTTGGAAGACTACGTGCATGGAGCTAGACGACGACGACATCCACAGTTGGAAAATAGCTCATCATCGTTGCATTTGGCCTCCAATTCAAAAATCGCATGGTGTATAATCCAAATTTCATTTGATTCAATCCAAAAATTCGAGATGTAACTTAGTTGTACTCTCTTTTTAACCTGTCTCAGACATTCTAACACAGAAATGGTATCGATGAATCAGTAGATGAAACTGAAAGCCTGGCAAAATTCATACTCCAATGGTGTGGATTTACAGTTTAATACCGTTACACATCGAAGAGTGTATGTTCCGAATTCGGGCATCCGACCTTAGATTATTTAAAATCCACGCAAAACAATGCATGACGGAAGTATTTAAGATATCGAACGACAAAACCGTAGATGCAGTATACATACCGTCTAAAGAAAAACATTAAAAAGATCGACTCAGACGTTTCTCGTCCTGCAGTGCAATTCTCAATGCCGAATGCTTCGAATCTGCGAAAGGTTGTTCTGAGGTCACTTCAGAATGAATATATATTAAAGGGAAACTCCGTTGTTTTCATGCTGTATTCACTTTAAACGTCTGAGCTTTTTTGCTGCATCGGTGATGCTCTGGCTTATCTCGGGATGTTTGGACTCGAGCAATTTATCAAGTCGAACGGCAGCTTCAGGTATGCGATCCTCCTCAATGCAGGACTCCGAACAAAGACTGAAGATTACAAGGTTGACCTCTCCCTCCAGTTGAAGGCAAAATAGGTGGCTAAAAACCTGAAAGGCAAGCACAACATTACAAACTTTTAATCGTATTATACGGTTATGTGCTTATATATACGTAGTAAACACAAAAAACAAGAAACATTTGTTAATGTCAAGAATTATTGTTACATTTCTTAACTCCTATTCGGTTTAATAAGTTCCGACGGTTAAAATACTTTTAACGGCAATCGTTAGATTTCATCGAAGTCAACAGTAGCATCAAGACTACATAGAATAGTAACAGAGAAGCATTCTTATGAAGTTCTTAATTCTGACCTCTTTCATCCTTGAAACAACGGCATCCTTAATGGCAGGAGACCTTGAGACCAAATTAACAACAAAGAGACCTTGCTCGGAAAGGGCATCTTTTATATTTGTAAGGAAAGATTCTTCCACAAAATCGGCGGCCGGACATCTCAGACCGGAGCTACAAAGACAACATGACAAAGGTGATTAAAAAAATATTTATAAAAAAATATTTATAAAAAAATATTTACACGCTTTCAGATTTTCAACGTAAATCGATGCAATCGTTAATAGTGTCATTCACCTCGAGTCTGAAGAGTCCACATCAACAATAATTATGTCAATATTGGTACTTCTTTGGCTTTCTGGATCTCGAAGTTTGCAACTTCCATTGGAAGAATGAAGCACTTCATTGTTCGAATCATCCTTGTTTTCGTGAAGAGTATCACCAACCGCGGATATGTTTCCTTTGTCCCGGACAAACTGGATGCCATCTGCAATATGTACCTGAAAAGGCATATTTTGAGCGAAAGGTTGAACCAAAAGTCGAACCTTGAATATGCAGAGGCATCAAGGTACAGTCAGTTACCTTCAATCGTTTATCTTCGGTAAAACTAAAATAGTCCCTTGCAAGGTTAAGCATAATAGGATCGAGCTCCACTGCCTGAGGATAAAAATTCCATTGCACTATTTCCATCAAGCGATTCAACTCCAAATCAATGATAAGGGAGCATAGGAAGTAATGTAAAAAATACCTCAATTTGCATAAACTGCATACATCCATGAAGAAACATAGGAAGTAAACCCGCACCAAGACCTATTACAACTGCGTTAACCTGAGATGGATGACTTTAAACATGAGCAGTACATCACGGAAAAAGAGCATAAAGAAAAGTGTACGAGTCTTACTCTATTTCCCGAGGAAGCCACACTTTCCAAATAGGATGAAATCAGAGAAAATCCAGAAATGATCGCCGTATGATAAGAACTAGCCAAATAACCATGATACACCTTCATCTTGCTGCTTGATTCTAAATATGAAGAAAAATAATGTCAGAATGACAAACAAACTCAATCAGCAATCAGCATTATTGAAGAGTTACTCGAGAAACTACCAAAAAATTTGAAAGAAAACATATTACCATTGTTTCTTCTCTGAGTTCCTCTTCGCTTGGATTTTGAAGATGAGCTGGCTTTCTTCATCTCTGTTTCATAAATACTTTTGTCAAACAATCCATCCCTAGTTAGCAAAGCTTCAGACTGTACCAGGCCTTCTGTTCTCTGGAAGATAAGACGACGGAAAGGCAAAGAGCGACTGACATCGCCATCATCATTTTCATAAACAACATCTTCGATAACAATGGGACCGGTTAAAGAAGAAGATCCCTGTATAAAATACAAGTAATCAATGCAGTCAATAAGAAGCATTGACCAAGCAAGCAAATTGTTAAAGAAGATGATCCCCGTATGCTACTTTGCACTCAAATAACAACCCAAGCCACAAAAATATACACCAAACATGTTTAATAAAGGAATATTATCCCATCTATCTAGACCAAAAAGGGCATTGGATAACACTTATTCCAGAATGCAGCCAATCACCGAAGACTTTGCCCTTTTTGAATAACAATGAAGAAAGTCAATAAGAATAGAAACTCTTGCACATGATGCTCAATATGTTGCAAACAGGTCATAATAGAAATAATGCCATAAAAGAACTACAACCTGGTAAACGATGCTTTGCTGCTTGATTCCATCACTTGCTGTCATAAACCTGGTTCAGGAAAACAAGAAAAAACCCTCAAAGAATGAAGAGAATATCATTTTGGATATATAGGTAAGAAACATATAGGGCAGTGAAGCATATAATATTGGCACATGGTAAATAACTAGGCAAAGAAAATAAAACTGAAGCTGCTTATTTCGTACTTCATGGAGGACCCAACATACATGGTAGCTTCAAGTTATAGTCCTTTAAATAAGGGAAAGTGCTTGCTTAAGACAGTTATATGTTACAATGCACGCCAAAACAGAAAATTTCTTAATCAACAATTTCCTGATGTGGCAGCAAAAATGAAGCAATAGTAATGTAATTGTTCCCCATATGTGAAGTCTATAAAGATTAAGAGATCAGTCTGTTTTCTTCTTTTGCAGATGCAATTAACTCTTAATTCTACAAGTCAGGGACCAAAGCAACCAAACATTCAGAATCCATTGCAATCAATTAGACATAAAGCAGGCAAATAGCTAACAGAAAACTTATGAAGTGAACATGAACATACGGAATTTGATTTCCCTTATCATTATCTGCAGGTGCCAGCGGTTTCACTAGAGGAGACAAATCCTTCTGAAAGGGATAGAAATATCATCTAAAGATATTAGTAACCAATAATGAAAGTTGACAAATGCAAGCAATATTTCTGTATCATACCTGGATATCTTCCATATCAGCATTAGCATGGCTGGTCTCTAATAAGATCTTCATTCATGATACAAAATTTTGCTTAGATACTTTCTTCGGACAATGAGTCTCATAAAAGCAGACCTTGGACTATGTATTCAATTGTTCTAAGAAAATTACCATTATTAGACGAGCAGTTTTTGAGCTTTCAACAACCTGCCATTGTCCTTCCTCTGAGGAGAAGAGCCACTCATGAGCCCGAGTCTGAAATCTAAGATTGAGTTACATATTTCAAACAGAATAATATAGTTACCCCAAATTGGGTACAAATATTAAATATAGTAAAACATATAGCAAGAAAATTAAGTGCAATGTTAAAAAGGACACACAAATCCTCACCAACAGTATGCTAGTAAGTCGAAGCCTACACCAATTATTGAAAAATAGAAGAACCAGAGGACACTATGTCACTAACCAACAAAGCAATACTCCCTATTCAATCAAAATAGAGGTGATGTTTATAAGAGAGCAGACTTCATTTTATCTAATTCCGAACACTTTTGCCTCAAAAACTGCATCCAAACCATTTAAAATCATACCTTGGGAACAATAAAGACACCACAGTGAAAAGAAAATGCCTCAGACTGTTGTTTAGCATCAAGCAATACAGCTTTGTAAGAAAAGCGAGAAACCCCTTGTTCACCCAGAGTAAGCTGAACTCGACAACCAGGGCTAAGTTTTGTCAGATCCCCCTTAGCTCCAAGTTGAAGATCTTCAAGAGAATATAGTACGTCAGAGCCACTCAAGTATTCTCCGCGAATTTTATTCTCACTTTCAAGGGCTTCAAGAAGACCAGAAGCCTAAAAACAGATTCATAGATTTACATCAAAACCTTTAAGGTGCTTGGGCTCCAAGGATTTATAATGAAGATCACATTGATAACAAACTATTATAATAAGGAAACTTATTTGACTACTGCCCTTTTAGTGAATCCCTCAAGAAACCTTCACATGAAGTTTGATTGTTATTACATTTCAATGGTTACTATCTGCAATTTTACTCAATTTATGTTGGAAAAAACTTCAAATAATAATAATAATAATAACAACAACAACAACTGGTAATACAATTAGACCCTAAGCACCTGATGCGGATTGCAAGCAAGGGAAGAATGATTGTAACATGACATGATTTGGTGCAGTTCATTGGAGCATTGTTTCTCAGCAACCACCATAAATGTTCGAAGTTCAGGCTTACTAGATGGTTTCTGAGGTATAGCATAGAGACAGACATTCCAGCCAAACCTGAACTTCGGAAAAAGCAAACCTAATAGGGTAAAAGCAACATGTATCTTAGCAAAGCCAGTAATTGATAAAACTATGTAGGAAAAATAACAAGAAAAACAATTAAGAAACTAAATGAATAATAAGGTAAGAACATATATATAACAAAGGTAAGAACATAGAAAAAAGTTCTTTGTTCGATACGGTCAAAAGTACCTAGAACGTGAGATTCTGCCAAGGTAAGACAAATGAATTTCCCCCCGGATTTCAGAACTCTTTTCACCTGAAAAAATGCAACTCTTATGAATTCAACAAGAATTTTAACCTTCTATGACAATAGTAATATGTTACATGTATCAGATAATATATATAAATAAGCTGAATGGAAACTTATAACACCTCCGATAAATATTTACTCCCTAGCTGAGGGCCTAGTTCTGGCTCCATCAAAGCATCCAATCCACCTTTTTCAAGAACAACACCGAAAGTATCATCTGGGAACTGGTAAGCATATAAATATCAGGTGAACGAAAAAGTAAAAGGAAACCACTAATTTATGGAATTGGGACATTGCATCACTAAATAAATAAAAACCCCTTAAATAAGAAGCATTATAAGCACTACGGCAATAGGTTGACATCGGTCAGTGTTACTCAAAACTTCATTGCAAGAGACAATGCTGTTATAGGAATTCAAGCTTTAGTATGTGTCATGAATAACAGAAATCCAGCTGCAATCCAGCTGATATCATATAAGACGAAAACCACCAAACTCCATAGACATTTGAAAGGATTCAGCAATACAGGAACTTGTAAATAATCTCAAAGCATCCCTGTCCTAAAATGCACAATATTAACTCATAAGGTTAAAATGGAACACACATTCAAAACTTGCTCACTTTTCAGTCTATAATAAGTTAAAATTTCAGCTAAGAAATGCTACCAGCAGAGAAAAATTTCACAAAATAAAACTTAGTAGTAAATAAGAATCCCAACAAATTCAGCAAGAAAAACAGCCCAAATTAAGAAAACGAGAAGAAACCTGCATTTGGGTCATGTCCATAACTCGCCAACGCATGTTGGGCCGGTCCCTAACATTACGTCGAAGCATGCCGGAAATGACAACTTTCGAGAAATCAATATTGGTTATATCGCCAAATCCGGCGTCGTATAAATGCTCCGATAGTTTAGAGTTTCCGCAACCAGGCACCAATATTTGCAAGGAGGAAGAGGAAGAGGGTGACGGCTGTTGTTGAAGAAGGGGGAGGAGTGAGTCGCGAAGCTGAGGCCACTCGGCGTACCACTCGAACGAGTCATCGCTGCCTCGGATGGTAAAGAAGCTATCCCAGTTTTCTTTGCTCGTGAAGTCTCCCAGTGTGTTGAGAAGATCGTCGGTTGAGGCTGATGGTTGCTGGTTTTTCTTCTTCCCCATTTCTTTGCTGATTGCTTAGGGTTTAATTTCCAAGGGTTTTTGTTTTTGGAGTTTATATTGTGTTATGTTTTACCCGTTTACTTTTTCATTTTGCTCCACTTTTTATATATGGTAAATTATATATTTAGTAACTAAACTATCAGTTTTGATCTATTTTAGTATCTAAATTTTTATTCTTTTAAAATCATACCTAAAGTTTAGTTTTGTTTCATTTTAGTACCCTATTCAAAATTTAACGTTAAGTTTTGAAAACAAATTGAAAAATTATGTACTTAAACGGACCAAAATTAATAGTTTAGGTACTAAACACGTTAAATTTTTAACAAAGTGGTACTAAAATAAATAAATTTAAACATTAGGTATGATTTTAAAAATATTAAAAGCTTGAGCACAAAATCGACTAAAACTGATAATTTATATACTAATAATATATATATATTATTTTTTTCTAAGGAAAAAAATAGGTAAAGACAAAAAAAAGGTAAAAATAAATTGGTTTAAAAATTGATTTGTTACTTAAAATTATTCCAAATGTCAAGGTAAGTTATCGAATGCATTGACGTTCATCTAGGTGTCGGCTCGCCTCATTGACACTCCCATTAGTCTTATCGGTGCCGTGTGAGCAAAACCCAGTCGATTTTGCTCGTCGTCGACCTCCGTTAAGGTAAGTTATCAAATGCATTTATGACGATTGTAGCGTGATTTTCGGTTTGTTTTTGTGTCGATACTGTTTAAATCAAGCGTGTAGTTGATCGGGGAGTCAGACCGTCAAAATGAGCTCCATCGCCGCCGCAAACGCCGGCAGTGCGCGTGGGATTCGTTCGCCGGTCCAGGAGCCTTCTAGAACCGGTCCAGTCAAACCAAACCGGGTCAAGCTAAGTTATTTCGCTGAGTCAACTCGAATAGAGTCAACTCATTAACTTTGACTAATGTTCACTCTTAACCGTTGACTTTGACAAAAAGTCAAATTTTTTGAAAAGTCATATTTTATGTTTTTCGACGTTCTGAGTCTGAATCCGAAGTCTATTTTGTCAAATTTGAACTCGGTAAGTTATTTTATACATTTTATCTCCCGATTGAATACGAATTTTCACATTTAAGTTCCGTTTCTAATGTATTTGGTTTTGCCATGTATCCGAGACATAATGAGACGTGGAATTAAAGTTCGAGGGTGATCAAATGAAATTTAATTGGTTAATCAGTGTGGCTCGTGAATCGAGATAACACTACACTACCTTTTGTATGTTTTTTAGAACCCATTGATAATTGGTAAATGCATGAATGGAAATAATTAATCAATAATTTGGTGTATTTAATTATCATGGACTTAAACTTAATATGGAATAAAGGCATAACACTATATAAGACTCAGATGGCTCGCAAAAGAAATTGGTAGACCGATCGGAAATAATTCTAAGTTCAGTGATAATAAAAAATTGACCTCGTGAATTTCTTTAAAGGTTAAATGCCGAGAATTATAAAAATACCCTTGTAAATGCCTTGAGACAACGATTGGAGAAGAGGTTTAGTGTCCTTCACATATCTAACATGATAATTGCCATTGGGAGCATGATATGCCATGCCACATTACAGCGCTTGTAAGTGTTTTCTTCACTTCTTACACATGCATTTTCATCCCCTGAAAGCTTCAGATATTAGATGAATGTTCTTATTACACTTAATGTAACTTTGGGAGTTGCTATAATGGTTAACTCCTCCTGTCTCCTTCTCAGTAAAAGAAGTATGCATGAAGCTTCTTCTTCTTTTCTGTTTTCACAAACTTACGCATAAAGCTTCTTTTTTCGGTTTTCTTCCAAGTGTGTGACTACTTTTGTTCTATGGTTCTTTTAGCACATCTTATCAAGGAGATGTATTGGATAACTGGCACATCAGTACGCATACTACGGTTCGCTCGAGTGGCCGCTCTTTCTGTACTTTGTGTATCATGCAGTACAAGAGTTGTAGTGTCTAGATTGCATCTAGTGCTCTGGGCAGTTCCGGTTATGGTGGAGTTCCGGAGTCATCGATTGTTCTTTCTTCTTGGGAACCATTGACCAGTTTATTAGTTTATTATCGACACAAGTGATATGCAGGCTGAGCAATGGCTAAATAAAATGAATGGATCTGGACAAGACGAAGTAGTGGAAGAAGAACCAGAGGCTCGGCCAGAGAGGTCAGAGTGATTAGCTTCTATCATAGCCGTGTCATATATTCATACACCATTCTGATAGGCTTTTAACAGGCTTGGACTCGGAGCAAAGGTTCCGCGCCAATCAAAAGTTGGACTCTCTAACGACCCGGTCGCGAGAAAACTATCTACCAAGTTGGGTGCTGGAAAAAGAAAAGCTTCCAAGAACCAGGACTCCTCCACCCCTTCTGGTCAAGACATGGTCAATGAAGATGATGGTGATGAAGATTTAGATAGCTGAAGTAGTGCATTTTCTAGGAAGAGAGCCGTTCCGCCGACTTCACAGTTTAAGAAAAAACTGAAGTAGCCAAATGCTATGTGCTTTCTAGTGTATTTAATGACTTATAAACACTTTTACATTATCATGGTCCATATGTTTCGTTTAATATATGTTTTAAATAATTTCAATCGTTTGACAAAAAATGTTCAATCACTTCCGTTATAATCATTGGTGTTTGAATTCTGTATTTCTAAGAAGAAGAATCATATCTTTAACTACTTAGATAATTCGGTTCGTGATATGGGACCCTTTCATTAGAACAGGGCATTAGGTGACATTTGACTTCAATGGTGTCCTTTAGTGAGTTTCCAAATGAATGGTTCTGTTGAAAAACGTTTAAGATGCCCTTTTTCTTCCATTAATGGCCTGAATTTCATGAGTTTTAGGTGCTGACAATGGGTAGAATAAGACTAGGACACAGGCTATGGTGGTAGTCAGAGTTCCTAATAATGATGGACTGTACTTGCATTTGACAGCCTTTTTGGTAACATGTGCATGATGGCATGATGATGAATTAGGTAACATGTCTAAAACAGTATTATTTAGGTGATAAATGTTGTCATGATGATGAATTTGGTAACGTGATGATGATGACAGGTGCCACAATCTTATTGGAAGAAAATAAATTAGATTAAATAAGTTCAAATTAAGAAGAAGAAAAGTCCCCAACCCAACACATTTGAATATGATTTTGGATTAAATTTATTGAATTAATTTAAAATTGAGAATAAATTAATAAAATATAGAAGTAATGAGGATTAAAAGTATAATTATATCAATTTTATTAATAATTTCGTCATCTCTTCAAGTAACTTGATTGAATCATTTAAATAGTTAAGAGGTCTAATTGATAAAATCAAAAGATTGGAGGTTAAAATGACAAATAGTTAACCCTATTATTCTCAGCAATCATAGGTTCTACAGGTACATGCATGTCTGTGTGTGTGTGTATATATATATATACCCAAAGGTATATAACAAAGGAAGAAAACCAGTAAGCAAACCCTAGGAATGAATGAAATCTATCAAAGAACACACCATTCACACAATCAAATACACACAAGACTCTAGATTCTACCACTAAGAAACAGCAGTTTTAATGTAGTTATTGATTAAACTAAACCAAGAAAGGCATCTGAAACCAGGTGTTTGCTTTCCAATTGATCTCTGAACATGAAACATGAAGCTTTGAAGTCACTAGTAAGATCTCCAGGTCGACACGGTTACGAAAACGCCGTCGCAGCATCGACTTGATTAGCTTGCTTTTCGCCTACTCTGACCCATTGAGAGATGCATTATTGGTATGAAGCATGAACAAAACTGACTTGGTTGCCTTCTACAAGTTGATGTCACTCTTCTGGTCCTTCGCCACGATATTCGCATTCGGGACTTACTTTTACGTAGCTTGTTATAGTGTCTTCGACCAAGTCTTCGAAAATGGCTTCACCGATCTCGACACTGATAAAATCTGCATCGAGTCGAAGATCCATCCATGTTTCTGTTTTGGCCAAGTCTTTTCTGACTACCTGGTCTAAAGTATGAGGCAGCGGCATTGGGAGCACATGCCAATAAACTCTTTGCTGAATCTCTTCGATGGTACTTTTCATGTTCGGAAGAGGACGGATATTCGTTTTAACGAACAACACGCCGGGGGAACCAAAATAGTACGCACAAACCTCGATGAGAACTTCGTTAATGCAGTCGAAGAGCAGTTTCTTGTCATGAAAAAGTTGGTTGGGTAAGTATTCTACCTCATCAAGCAACAGAGGGTCAAGAAGCTGGTCCGAAGAAAGTGACCTGATGTAGAGTTCATCCCAGTCGAAACTCGAGGCTTGTAGCACAGCCTTTATGTGCTCAAGTATTGATTCCTTATCATCAATACAAGTTTTAAAACGGCCACTGTGATTTGCTGAAGAACCATGTTCTTCGAATCGAATTCGCAGTGGTTGTAAGGATGTTTCACCTGAAGATCAGTGCAAAGATTGACATTATCGAAAATGTAGCACAACAAAGTTAAAAACAAATGCACAACATGAAAAAGGAAAAGCAAAAGGATTTCTCATGTCTACCAGAAATAGATCTGATGCTAGCAGGGCTGATAACATCGTCTGCGAATATCGGCTCAAGAACAGACACAGGACTTGGCCTCTCCTGTATATCACTAACACTCTCTAGACCTTCAACCATTTTAGTGATCGATGAGTTTGATGGAGACGCTAATGGAGAAAATGACCGTTGGTCCTCTTCAGATAACTCCTGGAGGTTGGGGAAAAAAATGAAATATCGGTCGGACGAGATATAACATACACAATGCATACTTATTTCAGTGTATATATACTACGAGCAAGTGGCATTACTCTACCTGTTTCGAGCAATGTGGATATTGTTTTTCATCATGAACTTCAGATTCATCTGTTTTAATTGAAGTCTTAGAAGAAGCATCCAAGAGCTTAGTTTCTTCCTGAACCATAATACCTCCGGAACTCGTTTCATCTTTGATAGAACAATCATCTTGATCCACTGTGTCATCATTCACAAAAGCATCGAGTTTCTCCAAAACTACATTATCACCTTGGATTTCATCGCCGGTTTTGTCATCGGAAATGCAAAGCTGGGTCTCTAGTTCCTCCGCTGCTTGACTTTGACAGCTGACATTGTCGAGTTCATCAGAGCCACCAAGTCTCCTCCCAGGGCTGCCAACAGGGGAAGAGTTATAATCAGGGAGAGAAAGAATCCTCCCTAACGTTTTCGGAACTTGTTTGCTCAAAAGATCCACATTGTCATCACCATCTGTTAGCATCTCGGAGAGATGTTTCTTCGCCTCGATATAGATGTTCGAATGCCTGGAGAAGTTAGTCTCACGATCAGTACTCGTTTCGGAGCCCTTTAACCTGCTCGTCCTTTCTCCTCTTTTGGCACCAGTGGAAAGTTTGGCAACTCTTTCAATAAAGAAATGGTCTTTGGTTGGAGAATTCATTGTGATATATTCCTTGAACCCTCCGGTGTCCCCCGAGTTTTTCGGCTCACCCGAAACTCTTTTCCATAATTCATTGGTGGGAATTCTACGTTGCTCTCTTCCCATAGCATGTTTCCACTTTCTTTTATCTCAGTAAGAAAAAGTGGGGCTCTCTATGTCTGATGATGTGCTTAGGCTCCGGTGATGAGCCTCGGCTGCTTCCGGTTTCAGGCAATTGCAAGCATGCCGGTCCAGGCTTCAAAACAACGATTCTATTGGGAGCTTCGGAAACCGTATTTCCGTCCGACGAGTCTCTATCCTGAGACTTGGACCTTCTTCTAAAGAAGTTCCGCTGTTTCCTATTAACAGGTTCATTCGATTGTCTTAAACCAGCAGGCAGCTGCTCTGAGTTGTTGGATCCAACAAGAGGCTTCGACTCTCCGTCATGATCGTCTGGCAAGTCTTTAACATATTTCACCAACATCGAGTTCGGATCTCGTAGAAGTTTCAGAAACAATTCCTCGTCTAAACTCAAAACTTGAAGTGCATCCATGACTTCTTTCGAGGCTTGGGGTTCCCCACCTTCCATAAGTTGGTTCCTGTTAATAAGCTTCTGACTCACTAAGAACTTGATAGCCTCACTCAATCTTTCTTCAAAACAGCAACTCTTCGGTCCGGCAGACCGATATTGATGCCTGCAATCGATTCTTTCCCGATCGAATTCATGACGAAACTCCTCTACAAGATTTTCTACATCAAGACTGCTTGGTGTTTGTTGCTCAGATTTATGCTGACATGACGCTTCCAATACCAAGTTCTTGGCGGCATCGACATCGAGACTGCTACCGGAACTTTTCTTGCGAGTTCTGTTACTTCGTTTCTGGCTCTTCCTTCCGCTGTCTCCTTCCCCCAAACCGAACTCTTTCACTCCGTGTTCGGCATTGTTTACCTCTATATTAGCAACTTGCTCCCTCGACATTTCTTCTTCAAGGAGTTTCTTCACGCTTGGCTTACATGTATCCATTGCCATTGCCTTCTCTTCAACCAGACCAGTTGAAGTTCCGTTACCTGCACAATTAAACGAGTTCTTAGAACCGATGTACATAGCTGCGTCCGAAACTTACCGATATCGGAACAAACCAAATGATCTCTCTATGCTCCAAGGACAATGACAAAGGCCAAACAAAGTAAAAATTCACTTGCAGTGAAAAATGCTTCAAAGCTTCTTATCAGAACCTACCAACAGCATCACGCCTTCGATCCGAAAGCAGTCTCTGAGTCCTACGACCATGGCGGAAATCGAACATAGTGATCAACCCCCACATACATCCCAACTGATCCTTTTCGTATCGAACAGGGCGTCTATTCGATCTCTTCCCCATGATGAATGCAGACCTTATATGAGATTATGCTCCCGAATCCGAAATTTTTAGACTCGAATCTGATCAACAGATAGAATCAACAATTAAGACATAACAAAGAGATACAAACCAGAAATGTAAATCAACAATGAGAGATTTCATGAAATTGCAGAAGCATTCATCATTCACAACAGATGAACAACAAGTGAAACAATAAAAACATACACCAAATAAACACAAATTGTCACTTGAATCACATAGAAGTGATTGATTTGATGAGAGGAGAAAGAAGAACAGGACCCCAAAAACCATAGAAGGTATGAAAATATTCCAATTTCAATGACTCAAGTTTCTCCAAGTAGAGCAAACCACAAGCTTCAAAGGGCAAAAGCTCCATTGGATGCCAAGGTATAATTGAACTACCTTTCTTTTTGCCTCAAAATTCTTCACCAATGGACCCCTTTTTTTCTTGGACCTTCACTTCAATGGAAAGAGATCAAAATCAACTAAATTTGAAGATTACAGATTGATGAGCTCTTGTCATCAGCTTGGGGAAGACTGTGCCTTTCTGCATGGCCTAGAGCTGAATTTTCATGGATAAAAAAAGGCCAGAATCATACTATTTTTGTACAATTAACTTCAAAAACTGGGTAGTTTCTCTTTTTTGTCATTTCCGATAAAGGAAGAAAAAAAAACTCTCCTTGAATGCAATATCTCAATCTACTTGAAACAAACAAATCTTCTCTTCTCCCATTGATAGCAGCCAAGAATCAAGCTTCCCATTAACACCCAAACCGGTATTTTTGTTTAAAAAAATCCGATGGAAAACAAATCAAATCAGAAATTTCCACTTCAACATCAAAAAGCTAGCACTCAGCACCAGGCTTTCCCAAGAAACAAACAAAAAAGAGTGAAAAAAACTCAAAATATAAGAAATAACAGTAATGGCTTGGCTTGATTTTTTCTGAAGAAAACTGGAAAAATAAAGTGAAACAAAGAAAGAAATATCATATGAGCTTAGAAAGAGTGCGAAAAATGACAAAAAGAAAAAGAAAAAGAAAGAAAGTGAAAGTGGGAGAGAAAGAGAAAGAGAGGTTTAACATTACGAGTATGGTTGGCCAAAGACAAGGGAAGTCGTCAATAGTTGGGAACAGATGACGTGACAGTTGGGACCTTTTTTTAAGGCATCGGGTAATAAAGAGTTATTATTATTTCTTGAAATTTTAATTTTGAATATTATAAATATTAAAGAAGTGAGAGTTTATTGTTAAATAATTGAGATTGTTATTTGACCAGATACTATTTTATACATTATCCGATATTAATAAAAAATTATTATTTTAGTAAATTATACATTTAGTACTTAAACTATTAGTTTTCGTCTATTTTAGTATCTAAACTTTCATTTTTTTTAAATCGTATCTAACGTTTAGTTTTTTTCGTTTTAGTATCTCACTGTTAAAAACTTAACGGGACATTTGCACGTGACACATTTTTTATGGGTAAATTGCATCATTTATCACTCAACTATCTTTTCACTCCTATTTTAATCACTACAGTTTATTTTTTTAATTTAATTACTTAACTTTCAAATTACTCTTGATTTAATCACTCTAAGTTTCAAAGTTGATTTTTAATTTTTAATTATGTATTAATAATAATAATAAATTTCATGTCATAAAAATTATTAATAAATAAATTAGAGTGATTAAAATAGGAGTAATTTGAAAGTTGAGTAGTTATATTGAAAATTTTTAAACTTTAGCATCAAAATAGGAGTGAGAAGATAGTTGAGTGACGAATGACGTGATTTACCCATAAAAAATACAATGTTAAGTTTTTAATCGTTAGGTACTAAAATGAAACAAAAAATAAATGTTATGTGTGATTTTGAAAAAATTAAAAGTTTAGGTACTAAAACGAATAAATATTGATAGTTTATGTACTAAATGTGTAATTTACCCTATACTTTTTTGGGTAAAGTACACAAATGGTCTCTCGACTATAGGACGATATTTTATTGAGTCCACTGACTATTAAAGGTTACAAAATAATCCTCTAACTATATAATTTTATTTTGTTAAGTCCCACAATTATTAAAAGTTATAAAATGGTCACTCACTTATTCATATGTTCCAAATTCATCTTTTTTCGTTAAAAATTTGATGATAGTCCGAGCTAGATGTTAATCTGTTGGTTGATATATGATATTCATTTGAGATTTTGGTATCATATTTTATCGTGTCACAGTCAACATATTAATGTTCAACTGAGACTGTCATCAACTTTTTAATGAAAAAGGAATAGTTTAGAATAGTTTGATGACATTTTCTACCTTTTAATAGTCGATGGATTCAACAAAACAATATTCTGTAGTCAAGAGAGTATTTTCAACAAAGCAGCGCCCTACAATTAGGGAACCATTTGTGTAATTGACTCGTTTTTTTAAAATCAAATCAGTTTATCAGAACTATTTACTATATTATAAATTTGTATGATTAAATTTAGACAAAACGTTAATGATAAATAATAATTTTAAAGAATTTATTTAGTGATTTTAGTGATAAAATAATATAGTGTTTGTTTTAGAGGATGTAAATTTAAATAATTGTGTTTGGAGGGTCTGTATATTATTATTATTATTATTATTATTATTATTATCAATATCTAAGAAATATTTAAAATAGATACTATCTTATAAATTATAATTATCCTAAATTAATAAAAAATAATAATTTAAAAAATCAGTTTAAATTTAAATTAAAAAAAATATCTTAACATTTTAATATGTCTAGATAAAATGTTTATAATTCATAAAATATTGATTTTGAATTTATATAATTTATTTGGATAACGAATTTAAATATGTGATATTATTTATATAAGAATCAAAACAAAGTTTAATAACAAATATCTTAAAACGATTTCTAAATTTATTTTTAGGGTAAATTACACGTTTAGTACTTAAACTATCAATTTCAGTCCATTTTAGTACCTAAATTTTCATTTTTTTTTCAAAAATCATATATGAAGTTTAGTTATTGTTTTATTTCAGTACCCATGTTCAAAATTTATCGATAAATTTTGAAAAAAAATTGAAAGTTAAAGTACTAAAATGGACAAAAACTGATAATTTATGTACTAAATACATTAAGTTCTTAATAGTGAGGTACCAGAATGAACTAAAATCTAAACATTAAGTATGATTTTAAAAAAAATTAAAAGTTTATATATTAAAATGGACTAAATCTGATCGTTTAAGTATTAAATACGTAATTTACTTTTATTTTAAATAGGCTGCAAATGATAAAAATCAATATCTAGATTTAAATAATAAGGCCAATAATTTCTACAGCATTGAAACATCATCAGAGTCACTGTTGTATTCTCTGTTCCTCTGTTGATTTTCATACCCGTATAATATGGTATTTTATTTTATTAAATTTAAATTATTATTTTTTACACATAAGTACAATTTTAACTCTAAATTCATAAGTTTATAATTATAAATTAAAACAATTAAATGGTATTATCTTTTAGGGCAAACTACGTATTTAATATTTAAACTATCAATTTTGATCCATTTTAGTACCTAAACTTTCAGTTTTTTCAAAATCATACATAGTGTTTAGTTTTTATTTTATTTTAGTACCCGCCGTTAAACCCTTAACGAACGAGCTCACCGGCCGCCGCGTCTACAGTCGTCGGCCATCGCATCCACCGGTCGATGAAGCCCAAACTTTTCAGCCCGTATTTTTTCAACCACCTAAACGTGATTCCGACCTCGTTTCATCGAAAAATGCCTCAATATCTCCAAATCGACGATGGACTCTTTGATCTCTCAATCCTTAGATTTATATCGTCAACCCTGATGGGCCTAAAATTGGACTACCGTTCGGATTGGTCGTCCGTCCAATGGAAGCATATGTCGTTAGCCAATTCGTTAAGTTTTTAACGACGGGTACTAAAATAAAATAAAAACTAAATATTAATAATAGTTTTGAAAAAATTAAAAATTTAAGTACTTAAACGGAGTAAAACTAATAATTTAAGTACCAAATACATAGTTTACCCTATCTTTTAATATAGCTTTGTATAACTTAAATAGAAAGATAATGATTTTATATTTATCTTTTAGAAATTATCAATGTCGGTCGATTGTTGTCCACTTTTCCCTGCTATCTATAATGGAAAAGTTAAAAGACCACTGATAGGCAAATGGGAGGCTGAAATTTATACAAAAATACAAAAATTGATGTGACGATTTGTGTAAGATTCAATCCATATATTAGATATATAAATCTCATTTAGGGTAAAGTACACAAATGGTCCCCGATTATAGGGTATTACTTTATTAAACCCATCGACTATTAAAAGTTATAAAATAATCATTTGACTATAGAATGTTGATTTATTAAGTCCATCGACTATTGAAAGTTAAAAAATGGTCATCTAACTATTCATTACGTCCCAAACTCGTCCTTTTCCGTTAAAGAATTGGATGTTATCTAAGTTGGACGTTAACATGATGACTGAGATATGATAGTCGTTTAAGATTTTGAGATCAGATTTTATCATATTACAGTCAGCATGTTAACGTTCAGTTCAAAATATCTTCAATTTTTAACAAAAAAATGACAAGTTTGGAATATAATGAATAGTAGATGACCATTTTGTAACTTTTAATAGTCGAGAGACTTAATAAAATTTTGGGTAAATTACACAAATAATTCTCCAGCTATATAATGTTGTTTTATTGAGTTTCTCGACTATTGAAAGTAACAAAGTGATCTCTGACTATAAACCATGTAATTGGATTTAGATATAAGTATTTTTGGATGCAATTTTATAGTTATAATATGTTTAAAAGAATCGTTGTAATTTGTAGATTTCGTTGAATTTCATAAAATTAAGTGGTCTATCGAGTCTCTAGTGTCATTATATACTTATTTGGATAGCTTAAAATCGACATGAGCATGAATCAGGCTACTTTAGTGACTAAAGAGACTATTGTTATCCATAAAAATTTAAGATTCGAACACCAACCGTCCTAGGATATTTAGCTATCAAAGCCGTGTTGTTACAAGATTATCAGCGTTCGTTCTTAGACGGAATCATGAATATAATTACCATCCCTAGCATTGACTGTGTGGGGGGGGGGGGGAACTAAAGCATGCAAATACAAAAGCAACATTATTTTTTGAAAGCAAAGAGCTTTAATGGTTGACCATGGCGCATGTGATGTGAGGAGCCGGCGAGGAGCAGCTGGGCCGCCACCGGCCGCGCAACCTTCCCCACTCTCATCTATAATATATTTATATGAATTATGATAAAACAATTGCTTATGTTATGCATATTTTGAAATGTTGGTTTAGTTATGTTGTGTTGTATTTAATTTTTTTATTTTTATCTTATAATAGAATTAGTCAAATACTAATATTAATATTTGTTTTGAGTTTAATGTTGATAATAATTATATTTTCCTATAATATAAATATCTTAATTCATGTTATTTATTTTCATGTTAATTTATATTTGTATTTTTATGTGGATTTAAAGATTATATATATATATATATGTATGTATGTATGTATATTAATCTTGGGTGATTCCAAGTCGGGATGGAACTAGGATCAAATGCCGAGGGGGGACAAATTGTTTTATAGAAAAAGAACAATGATCCATTAAGTATTTGAAACTAAAAATTGAGAGGGACAAAGATCTTACTTGATTAATATTTAAACTAAAAAAAAGACCTAAACTGTCATTATACTAAAAATTTTGGGAGTGGCAACAGTTCCTCCCAACCACCAAGTAGACCCGTCCCTAATTCCAAGTAATAATATATGTTTTAAAAAAATTTAAATTTGAAATTCTTATATTTAGGGATATTAATTTAATTCGAAATTCACATATTTTGATACGATCTAATTGATTTTTTTTAATTGAGTTCGACTTGGGTGGGGTTGAATTTTATAG